AAAAAAAAAAAAAAAAAAAAAAAAAAAACCTAAACCAAACTACAAACTACAGAACCCTCCCCACTTCCATTTGAACTCCTAGAACCACCAACCGAGACGGCGACTTCACAAAGGACAGATTCACAACTCCAGCCAAGAAGTAAAAACTGCATAAGGCCTAGCTAGATCCTGCCCAGAAGAGTCGGAACCCCACCCAAAGGAGCCATCTCGGGACCTCACCGCTAGACCGACACCATGGATCCCCCACCGCCAAACCGACGACGGTAGCCGCCCCAAAGAGAGTAGCAACACCAAACACCGTCAGACCATCCCCCCAGCACCAGGGGCGGACGAATCCAATAGAGGCCCAAAACGGCGCAGACCCCAAAACGGTCCACCACCCAGGTAGTAGAAAGGCCAACTAAGACGAGCGCCCACCCAACTGCCGGGACCCCCGATGAAACCCACCATGACCACCAGAGAAATTTAGGGAAGCGCCATGCCGGACGAGGAGACAGACGGAAGGATAGACCCCTCACCACCGTCCCGATGAAGGTTCCTCCATGGTGGGGAAGAGAAAGTGGTGGAGGGAAGACGAAGAGTACAGAGAAACGAACGGAGGCGGCGAGCTGATTTGGGGGAAAGAGTTTATAATTTTTAGAGAGAGAAAGTTAAATTAGAAATAAGTCCTTTGCTTTCAAATCCTTAAAAAAAAGTTCCAAGTTTAAATCTCTTTTCCTTTTATTTATTTAGAGTCATTCTCTCATCCACCAGGTACTTAGGCTTACCCTTAGGCCTACGTAAGTCCAAACTGGAACTTTTAGATTTGTCATTGAGGTTGTGGAGAAAAAATGCTTAACTGGAAGAACAAGTTCTTATCCCATGCAGGTAAAGAGATCCTCCTGAAGTCTATGCTCTCAGCCCTACAAGTGTTTGCTATGAGCTGCTTCATGTTACCAAAATCCCTAGTGGCTAAGTTATCTCATATGCTAGCCAACTTTTGGTGGAATAAGTGTACAGAAATTAAGAAGTATATTCACTGGAAATCTTGGCAGACAATCATTCAACCTAAAGAGAAAGGAGGCCTTCAGTTCAAGGACCAAAAGACACTAAACACAGTCTGATTAGCAAGCTACTGTAGAGACAACTTACCAACTCAAACTCTCTTGCAAGCAAAGTGCTCAAGGCAAGGTACTTCCCCATTGAGAACTTCTTTAAGGCCCAAAAATCTAGTGCAAACTCATGGATGTGAAATAATTGGCTTGAGGTTAGGGAAGATTTCAACCAGAAAGCAAAAGTACAGATCTAAAATGGCAAGTCAGTTTACATATGGGACACTCCTTGGCTCCCAGGAGTTCCCTGCAATATACCTCCAAAGCTCACTCAACCATCTCCATCTCTGTAAAATGTACAAGATCTAGTACACTCAACAGGGACAAGATGGAATGTGGATCTACTGGAAAGCAACTTCAACTCTAGAGATGTGCAAGCCATTCTGAAAATAAAAGGACTTGAGCCCACCAAATCAGACTTTCTAATCTTGGAGGATGGATCTAAATGCACAATTTCAGTTAAGGCTGCATATGCACAAATGATAGAGAAGAAGTTGAGACTAATGGACCTCCCAGAGTGTAGTTATGACTCTGCTGCTCTTATTAAAATGAGGAAGAGAGTATGGAAGCTTAAGATCAAAGAAAAAATCAAACACTTCCTTTAATTGCCTCAACAATATTGTGCCAACCAACACTAATCTCATCAAGAGAGGTGCGGAAGTGGACCTCATTTGCAGAAGATGTGTGATGGATGCAGAAACCCTAGAGCATTTACTCTTTCACTACCCTATTACTAAGAAAGTTTGGAACATTGCCCTAATCAGCTGGGAAGGCCGCAAAGAAAAATCACACTATTATAAGGACTAGCGGTTGGGAATTTACTTCTTGCCTTGCACAACCATCTCAGAGGATAGGATTCAGCTCTCAACCTATCTTCTTTGGTGGTTGTGGAAAACCAGAAACCTCTGGATTTTGCAAAGGGAAAACTACACTTAACCCACATAACTATAGGTTTATTTACACTTTACCCACTCAACTTTTTTTCGTAACACTTTGCCATATAACTTTGCGAAAAATTGCACTTCACCAATTTCTGGTCATCGTTGAAAATTTTTAAGGGCAAAATTGACTTTTTAGTCATTCATTAAGTTACTTGTCATTGAAAAAATTACACTTTACCTACCCAACTATACGCTTCTTTGCACTTTTCCCATTCAACTTTTGTTTTAATTTACACTTTGCCCTTAGAAATAGTCGGACAATCACTGAAAATTGGTTAAGTGCAATTATTTAGAATGTTGTATGGGCAAAGTGTCATAAAAAAAGTTGAGTGAGTAAAGTGCAAAAAAACCCTATAGTTAGGTGGGTTAAGTGTAGTTTTCCCATTTTCCGAAATATCAAAAGAGAGGGGAAAGTTGTAGTGGATATTGCAGTTGTTGAATGGTTGGAATGGTGCACTCTTTCTTATCTGCTTCCTGCAATCTTGGGTTTATTTTGGTTTTGTTAGTATCTTAGTTGTAGAATGTTGTTAGTATCAGTTTTGTTGCTTAGTGTTGATGTTAGTCCTAGTAGTTTTTGGTTCTAGTAGTTTGCAGGTTGTTTTGGTGGTTAGGGGCTGCTACACATGGTGCAGTGGTAGCCCTTTTTTGCAGTGCTTGACTCCTCTGATAAGCAAGCCCAGAATTGTCCTGGAATATTTTCGGCACTATGCCTTGCCTCAGACGATATCTTCCCAGGTAATTTTGTTTTTCTTTTATTTCTTTAGTGCACCAAAATGTGTGTTCCTCTATTCTTCCCCTTTGGGTTGATTGTATGGCTTATTTCCTATCCTTTTGTACATTCTCTGAGTAATAGAATCTGTCATTTCCATTAAAAAAAAAGTTCTCATTCATTATGTTATACTAAAACAAATGAAAAGTTGTAATAGCCTTATATTTATTAGGCAAAATTGCGGCTAATATCATGACCTTTATCAAGATTGCAAATTAAT